CACACACACACACACACACACACACACACACACACACACACACACACACACGGAATTCAAGGAAATAAAAGCAAGTTTCCACCCTCTCAATGCCCCAGCTCTGCATTTCACCTACATTTCACCTCCCCATAGCCCACCACTGTAACCAGTTTCTGGTGAATCCTACCAGAAATATTGGGTACCTACAAGCAAATGCATGCATGCACTTGTGTTTGTATATGCAATGTCCTGAATGCATCCTTCTATTTTTACTTTTTAATACCCTAGAGATTCTACCATTGTTAGCCATAAAATTAGCTTCCTTCTTTTTTGGGGAGTCAGTGATGGGGCTTAAACTCAGGGCTTGGGTGCTGTCCCTGAGCTCTTTTGCTCAAGGCTGGTATTCTACCACTTTGAGCCATAGTGCCACTTCTAGCTTTCTGGGATAATTGGGAGATAAGAATCTCATTGGTGTGCTCACTTCGGCAGCACATATACTAAAATTAGAACGATACAGAGAAGATTAGCATGGCCCCTGCGCAAGGATGACACACAAATTTGTGAAGTGTTCCATATTTTTCTAAAACAAAGTGAATAAGCAACAGCCCTAAAAAATGGCCTTTGATTTTAATTGAATAAACCTTAATAAAAAAATTTCATTGACTTTCCTGCCCAGACAGGCTTTGAACTGTGATTCTCAGATCTCGGTCTCCTGAGTAGCTAGGCTTATAGGTGTGAGCCACTAGCAACCAGTTAAGCTTCCTTCTTAATGACTATAAAATATTCCCCCAAGTGAGTAAGTCAACCATGCTTTGCCAACTTCTTTCCCTGTTTGCTGGATTTCAGGAACACCATCCTTATCTCACTCTATCTAGAAAAAGCACTATGTAAACAAATATGAATATGTTGTTGTTGTACTTTTTTTTAGATAAAGTCTTTCAGTATATCCCAAGATGATCTTAAAATCTCAATCCTCTTGCCTCAGCCTTCTGAATTTACAATTGTGCCCAGTAAAAATGCAATTTTTAAGCTGAGAAATTTCAATATATTTTATGAATTTCATTTTTCAATTTCAATGATATTTTGCAACACTGCAATAATTTCAGGTACCTTAACACAAAATTAATTAAGAAAATTTTTGTGGGCTGGGGACATGGCTCAAGTGATCAATAAGGCCTTGAATCCAAACCAGAGGGGAAGGGGGGGAGAAGGATGGAGAGGGGGAGGGGGAAGAAGGGGGAATAATAATAATAATAAAGGGAGATGTCTAGCAGAAATAGATGAGTACTTTTTCAAAGCTAAGCATTGCATTCTAAGGCGAAAAGGATACTCCAAAGAGATACCACCATCAGCTTTCCACAAACTATTTCCTCACAAGACTATGAGTTCTCTACTGTAGTAAAGGACTAAACTCACAGAATTATTTTGACTTTCAAGCCTACCATATAAAAGATACAAAAATCAAAATAAAAGCCCAGAGCCAGATGCTGGTGGCTCACACCTATAATTCTAGCCACTCAGGAGGCTGAGATCTGAAGATCACAGTTGGAAGCCAGCCTAAGCAGAAAAATCCCCATGAGACTTTTTTTTTTTTTGGGGGGTGTCCAGTCGTGCGGCCTGAACTCTTGGCCTGGGCGCTGTCCCTCAGCTCTTCAGCTCAAGGCTAGTGTTCTACCAATTGAGCCACAGTGCCACTTCCGGCTTTTTTCTTTTTGCTTATGTGGTGCTGAGGAATCGAACCCAGGGCTTCATGCATGCAAGGCAAGCGCTCTACCACTGAGCCACCTTCCCAGCCCCCCATGAGACTCATCTCCAATTAACCACCAGAAAACCAGAAGTGGAGCTGTGGTTCAAAGTGGTAGAGTGCTAGCCTTGAGCTAAAGAGCTTAGGGACAGCGCCCAGGCCCAGAGTTCAAGTACCATGACCAACAACAACAACAACAAAAAAAAGAATTCATATCAACCAATAAAAAGGGAAACAAGATGGTATGAACCTGTCATTCCAGCTACTCAGGAAGAGGAAATAGAAGAATTGAGTCCAGTTGGCCTGGGCATGTAAAAACAAACCCTATCTCCCAAATAATAAGAGCCAAAAAGGCTAGAGGAATAGCTCAAAATGTAGAACCCCACCTAGCAAGAGCAAGGTCTGGAGTTCAAACCCCTCCCTGTTCTGTCAAAAACAAAACAAAACTAAACAAAATATTGATATCAGCCATATTGCATTTCCCCTAAATGCTCTGTAAGAGTTGCTACTAAATCTCAGATGAGTCAAAAGAACATCATGTATTACACGAACAGTGCAATGATTCCAGCTTTGCAGGCAGCCCATACATTTACCCAAGCTTAACCAGAACATGGTTAAAGAATCAAAAGGGCACGGCACGTACCATAGAGATCTGGATTGCTGCGGATAGATAACCTTACAAAGTTTTTTCCAGGTATTGGCAAAAGTGACCCTTTTATTCTGTCAAAGACCTAGAAGACAGCAAAGTAGTAAATTCTTAAGTTTTTCATTTATTTTTTATTTTTTTTGTTTTATTAGTCGTGGGGCTTGAACTCGGCTTGGGCACTGTCCCTCAGCTCTTCAGCTCAAGGCGAGTGCTCTACCGCTTGAGCCATAGTGCCACTTCCGGTTTTCTAGTGGTTTATTGGAGATAAGAGTCTTACGGATTTTCCTGCCTGGGCTGGCTTTAAACCGCGATCCTCAGATCTCAGCCTTCTGAGTAGCTAGGATTACAGGAGTGAGCCACCGCTGCCTGGCTTTAATAGTTATCTTTTTATTATAAAGGTGATACACAGGGCTGGAAGGTAGCTTAGTGGTAGAGTGCTTGCCTAGCCTGCATGAACCCCTGAGTTCAATTCCTCAGTACCACATAAACAGAAAAAGCCAGACGTGGCACTATGGCTCAAGTGGTGGAGTGCAGCCTTGAGCAAACAAAGCTCAGGGACAGTTCCCAGGCCCTGAATTCAAGCCCTAGGATTGGGAAAAATAAAATTAATGAAAGGTGAAACACAGAAGGATTACATTAAATAAATCAGGTAATGAGTACATTTCTTTTTGGACAATGTTTTTTGTTGTTGTTTTTGTCGGTCATTGAGTCTGGGCACTATCCCTAAACTTTTCTGCTCAATTCTAGTGCTCTACCACTTTACGCCACATCTCCAGTTCCCTTTTAATTTTTTTTCTCCAAAGTTTTCTTCAACTACTACAAAATTGAAGCTCAGTTATTTAGGCTTTTTATGATAGTATTTCTACACTCTTCTAAGACCACTTTCAGTGCAAAAATCTTTTATGTGATTTGCCTGCTTAATTACAGAAGAAACAAGCCTCCATTATATAGAAGGAAGAGTGAAACAAATTTACAAACCTGGTATGTGTCCACATCAAAGAATGTTTGGTAGTACTCAAATGTCCAGAAGGGAGAGCTTTTCTTCTGGCCAGCAAGTAACTGTCAGAATAAAATAAAACACAATCAGTCAGATGCTGGTGGTTCATGACTATAATCTTAGCTACTTAGGAGGCTGAGATCTGAAGCCAGCTCCTAGCATGAAAGTCTATCAGACTCTTATCTACAATTAACCACCAAAAATAAGCTGGAAGTGAAGTTGTGGCTCAAGTGGTAGAGTGCTGGCCCTGAGCAAAAAAGCTCAGGGACAATGACAAGGCCCTGAGTTCAAGCCTCAGGACCAGGTACCCCCCACTGCCTGCCCCCACACACACTAAAAAAAAAAATCAACACAGAAATAACTTCCTAATTGTAGCTACACAGGGGGAAGATGATCTGATAAAAAACCAAAATGTGGGAAACCACTAGGCATTTCTGCATTCAATGAACAACAGCTACAGCTACACTTCATGCCCAGCCTGATACAGAAGTACACATCAGTTTTAAAATCACTTTCACCAGGTTTCAAGTCTAGCTCCTCCACTTGGGTGACTTTTGACAAATCACTAGACTCTCCCAAGGTTTAGTTGCCTGATCTAGAAAGATCTCTATCACCTAAGAAAAATAGAGAACATTAGATTCAGTAGTATGTGGAGGAATGTTACAATAGACACACACCCATACATACAGAGCAACAGATTCAAGATCCTCACTTCTGTTGTCACCTGAATTTTCAGAAGTCTCATGTTCTAATTCACTCTAAAGTACTAAAAATATTACTTGCTCTATTAAAAAAAATCTAGGGGGTGGAGGTACAGTTCAAGTTGTAGAGCGCTAGCCAATAAGCAAAAGCATCAGATACTAAGAGTCTTGGTCTTGGACAAAAACAGAAAAGAAAAAAAAATCTAATTTAGAGGAGGCCCTGCCTGTGGCCATACCACAGCTCTCCTTGATGACACCACAGCCAGGGCCAGCACCAGGAATCATGACTGCAAACAGGATTCACAAAGCAGAGGGTGCAGCAAAGCCCAGGCCGCTCTGCAGGACAAGAGACCCACTTTCTATAAGCTAGGCCAGGAACTCTGTCACTGTCACAAAATACAAGTAACTTTTTCTCAATTCACAAAGAAAATGAAGATAATGCAATTTCTTTCAAGGTTAATATTTTTTCCCTTATGTATTTTTTCAAATACATAAATATTCACAAATGCTTAAATATTGGTACCACTGTTTATTCCACAAATGTTAATTTTGCATTAACTTGTCTGGGCTATTGTACCTAGAAGTTGGTTAAACAATCTTCTGGATGTTTCTGTGAGGGTATTATTGGATGAAATTTACATTTAAATTCCATTTACTTAAGACTGCTCTATAATGTGGAGGGACCTAACCTAATGAGTTGAAGGTCTCACCCATACACAAGACCAACCCAACCTCACCCATCCCCCCTAAGCAAGAAGGAACTGGCAGCAGACAAACTTTCAATTGCAACTCTTTCCAGAGTCTCAGGCCTACTGGTCTCTCTTGCCAGATTTCAACTCACTAAAGATTTTTTTTTTTCTCCACACTTTACTGGTTTTCTTTGTTGAGAACTCTAATGTTCAGCCACTCCTGTGTATATTGATGTCTACCACTTTAACAAGTTAGGAACACACTTCACCTCTAAAGGGGTCGTGGGGTCTAGCAACAAAAAGCACAGGCCACTTCCTGCCAGTGTGCATCTTGTCAGGTGACTTCAACTCTGTGCCTCAAGTTTCTCACTGTAAAATTGGGATAAAAGTAATGCCTGGTTTAGAGTCCTTTGGAGATTAAATGAGATGATACAAATATCAACTTTAAATGGTGGCTGGCAGCCATCAATCAATCAATAAATATCAGTTACTGTAGCAGCAATGAGGGCCACAATGCTACTTTATTTTTCATATTTCAGATCAGGAAACTCAGGCTTAGGGTTACAATATAACAGGTAACAGGTTCATGGGAACTGTTTTGCTTAAACAAACAAACAAAAAACATTCCAGGGCTGGGAAGGTGGCTCAGTGGTAGAGTGCTTGCCTCGCATGAATGAGGCCTTAGATTCGATTCCTCAGCACCACATAAACAGAAAAGGCTGGAAGTAGCACTATGGCTCAAGTGGTAGCGAGCTTGCCTTGAGCTGAAGAGCTCAGAGTCAGCGCCCAGGCTTAGAGTTCAAGCCCTACGACCGACAAAAACAAAAGAAAAAAAAAACTACTCAGTCCTCTGCGTTCATTAAAAGCAGGAGGAAATCTGGCATCTCTGCCTCTATTTTGCATCGGAGTCTCTGATAGCACTATGCAAGACTAACGGGACCAGACTGCTGGGTAAATATCTGGTGAGAAGAATTGAAGGGTCGGAAATACAGCTCAGGTGTTAAGAGTGCCAGTCAATGAACACAAAAAATAAAATAAAATAAAATTCAAGCTATTTCCCAGGCAACTACACCTTTAACCACCAGACAATAAATCAGACTAAAACTTATTAATAATATGCATGCTTGTTGACCCCTGCCTCGGTCCTTCTTCTTTTTAAACTTAAAACTCATGTCTGCGTAACCCTCTGTATAGTATCTTTACAATAAAATAAATAAATAAATAAATAAAACTCATGTCTGCAGCCCAAGACATACTGAAATGGTTCTGCCCTCTTCTAGCATACTGGCCAGTTTGTTAATAAATTGCCTTTCTCTACCCTTCAACATTATTAGTCTACTGATATGGTTTTTCCACCCCCTTTTTTGCTTTTTGGCTCTACTGTGGTTTGGACTCAGGGCCTCCCATTTTTAAAGGCAGGTGCTCTAACCACTTGAGCTATGTAAGAGTCCCCAGCTATAGCTGAGTCCAGCCTTAGACCACCATCTTGTTAAGCAGTTGATATTACCAATATGAGCCACTGCACCTGGCTCTTTAATTGGTCTCTTTAATTCGCATACTGAGGCAAATGGCTGGGCTGGACATGTTGGAACCCTTGGAGCTAAACCTTTGGCCTAGAACTCTGTTTATAAAAGTACCCTTCTTAGGACTGCCTTACTGCAGCCAGGACTAGGATTCAAGATCAGAGACTCATAAGTCTGAAGATGTTTTGTTTTGCCAATACTGCAGTTAGAACTCAAAGTCTAGTACTTGCTGGGCTTGCTTGCTCAGCTGGTACTTTACCACTTGAGTCAAATTCCCAGACTTCTTTTTACTGGTTGTTGGAGATGGAGTCTCTTCAGATTTTTCTCTCTGGCCAGCCTCAAACCTCAATCCTCTTGACCTTAGATTCCTGAGTAGCTAGAATCATAGGCCTGAGCCACTGATGCCAGGCTTAAATCTGAGTTTTCATCACAATATTTTGCATATAAAGGTAATGTAGCATAAACTTCAGCACTTATTTTGAGGAACACCAGGACCTGAGGCGAGACCGGCAGATCGACCTGAAGTAATTACATGTAAGCAAGTTCCCCCTGCCCCATGCAGGCTCTATCACTTCTAGTCAAACCACCTGCCTCTTACCTGCCCTTCCGGCCTCCTGTCTTTCTGCCTCCAACTTATACTTAAGGTTTCCATATCATAATTATTATTGAACATATCACATCTAGTCAGATTGCTTAAACCTTTTGACACATCCTAATTATGTTCAGAATGCAATTCATACTCATTGGGTTGAGGTCTGGCCTAGCTGTGCAGCCTTCTCTCCTGTCTTTGCCTGTATTTTTCTCCCACTATGAGTAAAGGTGGTGGACATCCCTTGCCTACACCATGCTTTTTCATGCCAATGACTTCAGTAATATGTTCCCTTGCCTGTATCATCTTTGCCCCACTTCTTCCTCTGGCTACTCCTCCCCTGCCAGCAGGTTCATTCAGGTGCCACTGCCTCCAGGAAGCCTTCCCTAACTCTTCTCCCTGCCCCTGTCACCCATCTTCCCCCCTCCATACGCACTTCCATGGACAGTAATGGTCTATTTCTCCACCAAGCTGAGGCCATGGGTCATCTGTCTTTGTGGCACCACTGTCTGGCACTGTACCTGCATATACAAGTCAGTGAATAAATGCAGGAACAAGCTTGAAATAAAAAGGGGGAGGGAAAAGTCAAAGGTCAGTTCAAACCTCAGTTTTGTCAGAGTCATCATTTCCCAGCAACTCATCATCCTCTTCCCTCCTAGAGCTTCTTGGGGGTCCTGACTTGTGCTTGGGGGTTTCACCAGGATCCTCAATGCTTATTGTGGTGGCATCTGAGTTTGCTGCTAGAGAAGTGGCTGTATCACCAAATTCTGAAATCAAGCAGAGCACAAAGACCAAGAGACTTTCTCACACAGGAAAAGAAATGCTATATATGCATCTATATGCATATACTTATGTATGTATATATTTGTAATTTTATTGTTATTATTAAGAATTGTAGCCAAGTGCCAGTGGCTCAGGAGCTAGTAATCCTAGCTACTCAGGAGGCTGAGATCTGAGGATCACATTCAAAGCCAGCCCAGGCAGGAAAGTCCGTGAAACTCTTATCTCTAGTTAACCACCAGAACACAGGAAGTGGTACTGTGGCTCAAGAGGTAGAGCACTAGCCTTGAGCTGAGGAACTCAGCGACAGCACCCAGGCCCTGAGTTTAAGCTCCACGACAAAACAAAACAAAACAAAACAAACAACAAAAAAAAGTTGTCAGAGGGATTACATTTCCATAAAACAGGTAATGAACAAAATTCTTTTTGGAAAATGTCACCACTTCCTCCGCTTTCCCCAGTTTCCCCCCTGGAGCAATGCTTTTTATTGAAAGAGAAGCTTATAGCCCCAGCTTTGTTACAGATCTCTAGTAAAGATAAACAAGGATGTCCTATGCTACAAAGCAAGACCCTGTCTCAATTTAAAAAGAAAGAGGGGCTGAGAATGTGGCTCAGTGGTAGAGTGCTTGCCTAGCACACATGAAGCCCAGGGTTTGATTCCTCAATACCACATAAACAAAAAAACAGAAGTAGCACTGTGGTAGAATGCTAGCCTTGAGCAAAAGAAGCACAGACCAGTACCCAGGCTCTGAGTTCAAGCTTAGACTGGCACAAAAATAAATAAATAAATAAATAAAATAAAAAGGAAGAAAGAGGAAAAGAGAAAAATGTCTTCTAGAAATCAATCTGACAGGGGCTGGGAAGGTGGCTCAGTGGTAGAGAGCTTGCCTTGCATGCCTGAGGCCCTGGGTTCGATTCCTCAACACCACATAAGCAAAAGAAAAAAGCCAGAAGTGGCACTGTGGCTCAAGTGGTAGAGCGCTAGCCTTGAGCTGAAGAGCTGAGGGACAGCGCCTAGGCCCAGAGTTCAGGCCCCACAACCAGACCCCCCCCCAAAAAAAAATCAATCTGACAGAATTAAGTGATAATGAAGATAAAAAACAGAATTTGGAGGTAGACTGGGATTTTAGTCCTGACTCAGCTATTCACTGACTACATGAGCCTTAGTGGGTAACTTGACCTCTTGAACCTCAGGTACCATCTTACAATAGACAGAATAATGTTTGTTTTAAAGATGCCAGGAGCAAGGTGCTAAAGACTCATACCTGTAATCCTAGCTACTCAAGAGGCTGAGACCTGTGGACAGCAGTTCAAAGCCAGCCCTGGCAAGAAAGCCTGTGAGATTTTTATCTCCAATTAACCACCAGAAAACCACAAGTAGGACTGTGACTCAAAGTGATAGAGCACTAGCCTTGAGCAAAAAGAGCTCAGGAACAATGCCCAGATCCTGAGTTCAAGCCCCACAACCAACCAAAACAAAAACAAAAACAAAAAAAAAGTAAAAATAAAGATGCCAGGAGAGTTAGATATAGTACCTAATACCTAAGTTAAGTCCTTAATAGAATAGACCACTCTAAATCTCATTCAAGTTCAAGAAAGTTTTAATGGAGCCAGGTACTGGTAGCTCATACCTATTCACACCCATAAACCTAGCTACTCAGAAGGCTTACATCTGAGGATCATGGTTCAAAACTAGCCTAGGCAGGAAAGTCTATGAGGCTCATCTCCAATTAAGTACCAAAATGCCAGAAGTGGAGCTGTGGTTCAAGTAGTAGAGGGCCAGCCTTGAGCAATGCCCAGATCTTGAGTTCAAGCCCCAGATGGGCACAAAATTTTTTCCCTAATATCTATGTGATTAACATAGACTCCAAAGTGTTTTTTTTTTTCTTTTCTTTTTGCTTATGTGGTGCTGAGGAATTGAACCCAGGGCCTCAGGCATGCAAGGCAAGCGCTCTACCACTGAGCCACCTTCCCAGCCCTTATGTGATTAATATAGAAAATATAAAGGCAAAAAAGTAGAAACAATGAATAAAAATACCACTTAGTCAGGGCTGGGAATATGGCTTAGTGGTAGAGTGTTTGCCTAGCATGCATGAAGCCTGGGTTCAACTCCTTAGTACCACATCAACAGAAAAAGCTGGAAGTGGTGCTGTGGCTCAAGAGGTAGAGTGCTAGCCTTGAGCAAAAGAAGCTCAGGAACAGTGCCTAGGCCCTCAGTTCAAGTCCCAGGACTGGCAAAAAAAAAATCACTTAGTCAAGGGAGGTACAGAAGTGGAGGAACAAGGATGAACAAATGCAGCAGTGGTACTCACTAGACACTATGTTGAAAATGAACTGTTGGGAAGGGAAAACTGGGAGAGAGGGAGGGAAGGAGTGATACTGTCCAAAAAGAAATGTACTCTTTACCTGACTTATGTAACTGTAACTCCTCTATATACCACCTTTATAATAACAATAAGATAAAAAGTGTGGCTGTGGAAGAAGACGACAAGTATAGCCAAAGATAAAATCTGAGCAGAGGAAGATGGTTCGTGGAGGTATAGCTCAGTGGTAGAGTGCTTGCCTAGCATGAGCCAGGCCTATTTTAATCCCCAACACTGGAGAGGTGGGGGAGCTAGGGAAGCCTACTCTGGCTGTAAAGTAGACTAGAGAGAGGCAAGGCAGGAGGAAAGGAATCAGAAGAAAGATAAGGCTAAAATTGAGACAAAAAGAGATGATATCCTTAAACATGGAGGCAGCAAAGGTAAAGATAGTGAATGTGTGGGCTGGGAAGGTGGCTCAGTGGTAGAGTGCTTGCCTTGCATGCATGAGGCCCTGGGTTCAATTCCTCAGCACCACATAAGCAGAAAAAGCCGGAAGTGGCACTGTGGCTCAAGTGGTAGCGTGCTCGCCTTGAGCTGAAGAGCTGAGGGACAGCGCCCAGGCCCAGAGTTCAAACCCAGAACTGACAAAAAAACACACACACACACACACACACACAAAAAAAAAAGATAGTGAATGTGATATTTGCCAAAGAAGACATTTCTCTTTAAAATTCCTGTCTCTTCCTCAAACAGCAAGAGAGTCTATGAGGCTATGAATGCCTAGGTTCAAATATAGTTACTAACTGATCTTTAGGAAAATCAGTTTCCCCAGGTGTGAGTGTGTGTGTGTGTGTGTGTATATGCACGTGCATGTGTGCACACGCCAATTCTAGGACTTGAACTCATGTCCTTCACATTCTCACTTGACTTTTTCACTCACAGCTAGTACTTCATCACTTGAGCCATCCACCAGCTCAATTTTTTGCTGGTGGGGATAAGTCTCTCAAAGATTTGTCTTCCTGAGCTGTCTTCTAATCAAAATCCTCAGATCTCAGCCTCCTGAGTAGCTAGGATTATACATGTGAACCACTGATGCCTAACTTTTTTCTTTCTTTTTTCGGTAGTAAACCTGTGGTTTGAACTCAGGACCTGAGTGCTGTCCCAAAACTCTTTTGCTCAAGATAAGTGCTCTAGCACAGCTCCACTTCTGGCTTTTTTTGTGTGTACTTAATTGGAGATAAGAGTCTCATGGAGGGGCTGGGAAGGTGGCTCAGTGGTAGAGTGCTTGCCTTGCATGCATGAGGCCCTGGGTTCGATTCCTCAGCACCACATAAGCAGAAAAAGCCGGAAGTGGCACTATGGCTCAAGTGGTAGAGCGCTAGCCTTGAGCTGAAGAGCCAAGGGACAGCACCCAGGCCCAGAGTTCAGGCCCCCACAACCGGCAAAAAAAAAAAAAAAAAAAAAGAGTCTCATGGACTTTCCTGCCCAGGCTGGCTTTGCATCACAATCCTCAGCCTCCTGAGTAGCTAGAATTACAGACCTGAATCACAAGCACCTGGGTGATTTCCCCATTCTTAAAACAGGGAGAATATTTTATAGCTTGAAGGATATAAGGATTAAGTGAGTTATTATTTGTAAGTCGCTTAGAAAATATCTGAGATGGGGGGGGAAGGATTGGGACTGGCGGGGGAGGGGGGAGGCTGGGAAGGGATGTGAAGGATAAACAAAGGAGGAGGCTGCAATGCTTGGTAAGAAATGTACACATTATCCTGCCCATGTAATTGTAACCCCTCTGTACAGTATGTTCACAAATAAAATAAATTAAAAAAAAGAAAATATCTGAGATAGTGAATGCTGTGTAAGATTTTATAAAACATTAGGGAACCATCCCAATCTGAAGGGTCAGTTGTAAAGAAACTGGAAAAACCTTGGTGTGGCCAACAGCCTTTATCAAAATGTCTGAAATTATTTTGTGTGGGATACAGGAGATTGAAGGCCTTGAACATGCTAGATAGGTGCTCTATTGCCTATTTGTTTATTTTTTCTGATTTTATTATCTACCTGTTTATATTAGTATTGAGTTTTGTTGTTGTTGGTTTTTTGGGTCCGGTCGTGGGGCCTGAACTCTGGGCCTGGGTGCTGTCCCTCAGCTCTTCAGCTCAAGGCTAGCGCTCTACCACTTGGGCCACATTGCCACTTCCGGCTTTTTTTTCTTTTTGCTTATGTGGTGCTGAGGAATTGAACCCAGGGCCTCAGGCATGCAAGATAAGTGCTCTACCACTGAGCCACCTTCCCAGCCCCCAGTATTGAGTTGTTGTTTTGTTTTTTTTTTAATGTAGTGCCCTGTGCTTACTAGGTGGGTTCTCTACCACTTGGGCCACATCACCAGCCTTCCAATGTAGTTAGGATCTCACTAACTTTGTCAGGGCGGACAGCCAACTGGAGATTACAGGCTGGGATTACAGGCAGGTGCTACCACACCTTTAATATACTTCAATATAGAGGCAGTACAGCAATGAAAATCTGTTTCCTTCTATGGCTGTAGAAATAATGACCATAAAGATAGAGGTCAATGCCCAACTGCTGTACCTTCAAATTGCAAGTCATCTGCAGCTGCCATTCAGCCGGTGGATCTTCTTCCAATTTTGAGGAAGAAAAATATCCAGGGGTCTACAGGGAGAAAAAGAAATACAACTTAGGCTAAGAGAATAAGATATCTGCAGATACATCGTATTTCGGCATGAGAAAGGGTATTGCTTTCCCTTGCCTCCTTTCTCAGGGGGTTTGCTAGGTTTCCAGAAAGAGCACCACTGAGCATCAGCTGTCAGCACCACCCTGAGAAAGACGTGAACCCCGCAGAGGAGGTTCAGCGGTTCCGTGGCGTCTCCCACGTGTCCCTGTGTGTGGTGAAGGGGAAGGAGGAAGGGGAGGAGGCGATCTGCCGGGAGCCCGGCCGCGGTGCAGGGCACGGGCTCTCGGGGCAGACGGACCTGGGCTGGGCTCCGCCTCCGTGGCGTCGCGGCCGTGCGCGCGCAGCGCGGGTCCTCGGCTTCCGCATCTGTAAAATGGGTGCGTGACGGTCTGGCCCGTGAAAGGCGAGCGGGGCACCTTAGGCGTCCGGCGCGCAGCCGTGAGGGGTGAAGCTACCGAGGGGCGGGGGGGAGGCTGAGCGGCAGCGGCCCCGGCGGGCGGGAGACCCTCCCCTCCTCGGGCCCGAACCCACCTCACACGCTCGGCCGCCTCACCTGGCGCCGCTCGGGCCTGCGCGGCTCCCCCGCGGCTTTAGGTTCCGTGCAGTTGCCGGAAGCCGGAGATCCGGGGGGGCGGAACCTCTCCGCCTCCTCCGGGAGGAACCCCGCCCTCTTAAAGTGGCCGCCGCATCCAGAGACCGTCCCAGGCCGCGAGTGCGCGTAGCCGGACCTCTCCCCGAACCCTCCCGGGGGTGAGTCTCTGGTTCTTAAAGAGACAGGCACCGCGGAGCCGCTAGGCCCCGACCTCCCTTCCAGAGGTGCGTGGTTGTCCTACTCTCTCAGCTTTTTCCAACTCAAGGCTGGTGCTCAACCACTTGAGCCACAACTCCATTTCCCGCTTTGGGGGTGATTAATTGGAAATTAACGTCTCACAGACTTTCCCCGCCTGGGCTGGCTTGAGCTGTGATCCTCAGATCTCAGCCTCCTGAGTAGCTAGGATTTCAGGCGCGAGCCACTGGCTCCAGGTGATTTATATACCTCCTCTGGAAATACTAAGTAGGACAGTAAAATATGACCGTGACCATTAAAATTAGATCACCCAGTTCTTTGGCTATAAAAATCTGAGGAAGTAATGTTGGCAATTACAATCTAAGTGTGTGAAAAGAGAGAGCCGGGGTAGGATGATGTTTGAGCATCCCCAGAGAGCCTTGTTCTTGCTTTATAGCCCTTATAGGGCAGAGCTTGGGGGCCAGGCGAGGGAAGGGGCCTGTACAGAATGGGCCTCACTCACTGTCACCCCAGGCGCCTGGGCCCCTAGGTGGATTATATCAGGACCCCACACAAGAGAGTTTCAACCTACCTCCTGCCCTTGTAGAATTAGTGCCTAGGTAACCCTCCAGAATTTAGGGATCATTTCCTCTTCCTACGAGGTGACTGCCTTCACCTTCCAGGGCCTTTGCTCCATAGTCACCCAGGAAGCAATATTTACCAAAATTACCTTTTGTCCATCTTTGCCAGCCTGTGAGGTTTGAGGGCAGAGACCAGAAATAATAATGGTAGTTGCCTCTGGATCCCACTGTGAGCCTTGTGGCCAAATGCAAATATTGTAAGTTAATGATCACTAATTGTTGCCATATGACTGGTGAGCAATTAGATATCATCACATTATTATTTATTAACATATTATTAATGTATTTTTAAACTGGCCTTGTCATGTATGAAGGAGCTCTAATTCTCAGCCCAATCCTGCAAGCTTCAGGATACAATCTTCACTGTACAAAGCTGAATCTGAAAATATGAGCAGGGCACTTTTGCTGAAGTATGTACCAGGAATGACTCTCCATCACAAAATGAAACGTGCCACTGTCTCACACACCTCTTATGTGCCATTTTGTCTTTACCTCCCCTGCTGCTTTTCCTGGGCTGGCAAATTAACTAAAAGCTGGGCAGCTAGTCCCCCCTCCCTCATACATACACTTTGCATCTGTGTTCTTTGATCTGCACCATTCCCTGCTACAGTAACTTTACAACCATCCTGATCTTCAGGAAAGAGGATTCACCAGTAAGCATCTTGTGACAAAAGGCAAACTGCCCCTCAAACAGGCAATTCCTTCTTATCATCTTCACAAGAGCAGTCAAAAATTATAGACCTCCTTTTATGCCTTCAAAGACAAAAACTGAAGCCCATGGTCAATTAAGCCATACCCGTGATTTTGGGAAAGTCTTAACAATGCATATCTTTCTGACCTCCTGCCCCCTAGATCTACTTATTTAACCTGAGGCCAAGGCATCCCAGAAGATAGCTAAAGATGTACAGAAGTGCTGCCTTCCCAAGGCTGTCATGTAATAAATCTTCTTTATGTTTATTATAAAGTTACAAATTGATTTTACTTAAATACATTAAAGCGGAAAAAAGATAAATGGTCCATGTTCATCATGGATAAAGCTTAGTAATTAAGTTAAATTATTCTAGATGAAAAAAATCATCCTCTTTCAAAATTCAAAATTTAATTAACCTTTTTTTCTCTTTTCTTTTGTCAGTCATGGGGCTTGAACTCTGAGCCTGGATGCTGTCCCTCAGCTCTTCAGTTCAAGGTGAGCCCTCTACCACTTGAGTCACAGCACCACTTCCAGTTTTCTGGTAGTTAATTGGAGATAAGAGTCTCACAGACTTTCCTGTCTGAGCTGGCTTTGAACTATAATCCTCAAGCCTCCTGAGTAGCTAGGATTACAGGCATGAACGACCAGCGCCCGGCAATTAATCTCCTTTTTCATTTCCCAAGTCTCTTTATTTGACATATGGGGCAAGTGACTGGACCTAATGTGAGACTCTTGGAGCTTGGGGTCTAAAAATTTATTTTCAGTATCACCACCACCTCTCTTCTTCCAGCTTCAGCAGGCATAACCTGAGTGAGCTTCAAAAGTAGAGAAAATTGCTGGGCTCTGTTACTCATGCCTGTAATCCTAGCTACTCAGGAGGCTGAGATCTGAGGATCATGGTTCAAGCCGGCCCGGGCAGGAAACTCCGTGAGACTCTGATCTCCAATAAACCACTAGAAAACCAGAAGTGGCACTGTGGCTTAAGCAGTAGAGCGCTCACCTTGAGCTGAATAGCTGAGGGATAGTGCCCAAGCCCAGAGTTCAAGCCTCATGACCGACAAAAAAGAAAAAAGGAAAAAAAATGGAGAAAATTGCTTGGCACTGGTGACTCATGCCTATAATCCTAGCTACTCAGGATGCTGAGATCTGAGGGACATGGTTCAAAGCCAGCCTAAGCAGCAAAGCCTATGAGACTCATGTCCAATTAAGCACCTTCTCACCACCACCACCACCACCACCACCACCCCGCCAAATAAAACAGAAGTAGTGCTATGGCTCAAGTGGTAGAGCGCTAGCCTTAAGCACAAAAGCTCAGAGACAGTACCCAGGTCCTGAATTCAAGCCCCAAGTCTGGGACACACACACACTTATTTACCTAAGACCTTGGGACCATACCAATGGTTTATGGTTGTATGGTGAGACTCTTGGGCCAAAGGTGTTGAAGTCTGAATACTAGCCACATCAGACTGTTTGCCAAGCCTATGTTGTCAACCACCAATAGAAACCTATACACTAATGCTTAGGTGAGTATCCAGATTGACAATGAGAACCAATGCCATGTGGCTACAGTCAGAATTCATAGCTTCGTGTAGCAAAGAACCATGAGCAGAAGCCTCTGCAAGAACCAGAGCTAAATATGAAAAGCTCAGCTGTAGCTGACAACTTGGTGGAGGCTCTGTTTGCAGTCAAATCTGAGGGTTGGGAGCCCAGCATTAGGGAAGCCCAGTGTTAGGGAAATGTACCCACACTTTGATGAAATTTACCTCCAGATTCTCACAGTGATGACTAGAGGGAATAATTCCCTCATGCTTTCAGCAAGAGAGTAAGGAAAGAAACAGTTTGAGATTTGTCAGGAAACTATCCCTTTAACAAGGGAAAAACTGTTTTGCCAGAGTCAAACCTATTGCAGTTTCATCAGAGTTTTTTTGTTTTTGTTTTTGGGGGGTCCCATCGTGGGGCCTGAACTCTGGGCCTGGGCGCTGTCCCTCAGCTCTTCAGCTCAAGGCTAATGCTCTACCACTTGAGCCACAGCGCCACTTCTGGCTTTTTTCCTTTGCTTATGTGGTGCTGAGGAATCGAACCCAGGGCCTCAGGCATGCAAGGCAAGCGCTCTACCACTGAGACAACTTCCCAGCCCCTCATCAGAGTTTATCTGACATAGAGAAATACTTCACTTCTAGCCAGCCTGTCCCACCTAAAAGGGGGAAATCACCAAGAAACACTTACATATTACTAGTGGCCTATTTTTTTTGGTGGGGGGATGGGTTTTGCTAGCAATAGAACACAAGACCTTAACATGCTAGGCAGGTGTTCTATTACTGACCCACATTTCAAGCCCCTAGCTTTTTATTTTTATTTTTTTGCAGTACTAGGGTTTGAACAATTACAAGACATACTAAAAGGTACAAAACTCAGTTTGAGGAGGTAGAACAAGCATCAGAACGGGAATCAGCTATGGAAGAAATGCCAGACCAGGATTTTAAAATAACTGACAAATATGTGATGCTTTTAGAAGCCCAGTGCCAGTGGCTCACACCTGGAATCCTAGCTGTGATTGCTTGAAGAGGAAGATGCTGGACTTGGTGAACACAACATGTGGGATTTCCTGTGAGATCTTCTGAGATAAAGTATCTTTGGGAGTTTATTCTATGTCTTCCTTCCTACATGAAACTAATGTAGTAAAGGCAGTAACTGGACACCAGAGCCAAAGTTGACAACTTTTTGTAGTGGTGGCCAGCTTTTCATGTCATCTTTTCCCTTCTACCCTTACTGACACATTATAAGTATTTGGGCATAGAAATAACCCAGGAGGGAGTGAATTAATACCTAGAGATTATTTAACACTGCAACTGGCTTTAGTCAGGACACTTTCCCTTTCTGGGCTTCAATCTCCCACCATCTCTACCTCTCCCCTCTCAACTCTACTCCCCCTAGTTTAAAAAAAGGAAGTGGTTTTAGATGTATTTTAAAACACTTTCCAACTTTGAGCTTCTTTGAGTCATGCTCTCTGGCTTCTAGGCCTTTGGCCATGGGGTTCCTTCCACTAGGATCACTGTCCTCACTTTGAAGTCCTTTGGACCTCTCTGAAGAGAATCAGCTGCCTCTTCCCCATGCTCCCGTCATACCCACAAACCCTCTGACTCTGTATGAAGTAGACTACACAGCAATTTTCTGTGAACTTTCTCTTCCCTGCACTCAACTATGGCCTCCCGGAGGACTGGAAGTGTTTTACTTACTCCACTCCAGTGCTAAGTGGAGGGGCAGGCCTCAGATTTCCCTGGGGATGGCCCCAGCCCTGTACCAGCCTGGAAGGACCCAGATTGATAAACTCTGGTGTGGACTTGTCCTCCACAAATACCCATCATTGGGAAGCTGTGAGGGTAAAACCCATCTTTCTTTAGTAGAAGAATAACCATAGTTACAATCTATTCACTTGAAACCGATCTCTGTGTGCGTGTGCACACATACATGCACCTATGCACATGTACACACTGATTCTGCGGCTTGAATTTAGGGCCTCATACTCTTGTTGCTTGGCTTTTTCACTCAAGGCTAGTGCTCTACCAATTGAGTCACACTTCTATTTCTAGGCGGGGGTGGGGGGTGAGGGGGTATTTGCTGGTTAATTGGAGATGAGTCTCACAGACATTTCCACATGGGTGGGCTTCAAATAGTGATCCTCAGATCTCAGCCTCCTGAGTAGCTAGGATTTACAGGCATGAGCCACTGGTACCCAGCCTGAAACAAATCTTTTCCATTCTTTTATTAGCATATATTAATTGTACAGAACAATAGTTTTCATTATGACTTAACAGGGTGCCTTTAGCTGTACTGGGTCCAAGTATTCAAGTTAAGCAGAGGGAAAATTAAGATCTGGATTGTCCCAATCCAAGGATCTCTCAAAAGCAAAGACAACTGATCTGAAATGATAACAATTTAGAGTAAACATTTGTGCAGATGGTTAGGGATTTTCCATTTTATTGACAGCAAAGCAAACACCTTCCGTCCAGGCTCCTTCCTCTGGTCAGGGATTGGCTCTTCCTACTCTGCACCTTTGTTCAGCTCCGCCCAGTGTTGCGTCTTGCTTGGCTGCAGCCTCTGGGTCCATCAGCCTCAGAGGCAGTGCTGGTTGCTCAGAGATGGGGCTGTCCCGGCTAGGACTGTGGCTGAAGCGGCTCTGGATATTCTTGCAGGTGGTTGTAGAGGTGGCCATGGGCAAAATGCTAATGATCCTTTTTCCAGAGAGGGTCAAGAAGCACATCCTGGCCATGGGCCAGAAGACCGGCATGACCAGGAATCCTCGCTTCTCCCCAGACAACTGGGTCCCGACTTTCTTTAGCACACAGTACTTCTGGTTCGTCCTGAAGGTCCGGTGGCAGAGACTGGAAGACAAGGCTATGTATGGAGGTCTGGCTCCAAACTGCTCAGTGATCAGCCTCTCAGGACAGAGGTGCAGCATTTGGGACTTCATGCAAGGTCAGGAGGCCACTATGTCCTCAGGGGGCTTGAGAAAGTGGCAGTGCAGGGGATGGAGAGGTGGCTTGGAAGGTGTTGAATTTTCTTCCTCTGCTCCTTTGGGGGGGTTCTTTTCTTCTTCTTGATCAAGAAATGAAATATTCTCCAGTTCTGTTCCTCTGAGGGCATAACCACTTTCCCAGACAGTCAGATCCCAAGTCATCCACTCTGGCTTCTAGCCCTCAATGCTGGTCTTATAATGAAGACCTTCTTCCAGGGCACCCCATGCCCATCTCTGCTTGGCGAAACCCTCCCATCTCATCCTTCAGAGTGCTGCTCAAAGCCAACTCTAGTTTCCCCAACTCAGGTTGCCCCTCTTCTATTCTGATTAACATCTCAAAATTTACTTTATTCAGGCCATCGTGGTTTGTAACTGGGTGGTGGGTATTTGACTTAGGGGTTGCCTTCATTAGTTTTCAAACTCTGTGGAGGTTGACATTATAACTCTTCACAATTATTGTGCCTGCCTTCTGTTGGCAGATAGTAATCACTCAGGATATACTTGTTGAAGATCTCTGTCTGTCTCTGTCTCTCTGTCTCTCTCTTTCTCTCTTCCTTCCTGGTTAATTGCAGATAAGAGTCTTACAGACTTTCCTGCCTGGGCTGGATTTGAACTGTAATCCTCAGATCTCAGCCTCCTGAGTAGCTAGGATGACAGGCGTGAGCCACCAGCACCCAGCTAGGCTCCAACTTTTCTCACCACTATCACTTCTGAGCGCTCCTCACACTCACTTTCTGGAGATAACTGTGGGGCCTTGTCCATCTCTTGTGCTTTGCCTTCTCTGTGATTTCACTGATACGTGAATGTCCTTCTGGAATGTTCTCCATGCCAGCCATCCACACACCCTCACGGGCCAGGGTCCAGCTTTCTGGACACTGTTAGTTGGGCTAACGCTGTTAGTTGGGGCCATGCCTCCTTGCCCACACCTCTCCTCATATGCCTTTCCTCAGAACCAGCACCTGGATACCTAAGCTCCCTGTTCTCAGGAGGCTGAGATCTGAAGATAGAGGTTTGAAGCCAGCAGAGGCAGACAAATCCAAAAGACTTTTTAATCTCCAATTAACAAAAAAAAGCTAGAAATGGAGATGTGACTCAAGTGCTAGAGTACCAGTAAGGTATGGTGGGGGGAGGCAAGTGAGAGCTTGAGACCCTGAGTTCAAGCCCAAATATTTCACACACAAAAATGACTCTGAGAAGCTCTGACTCTTAAAAGAAAACACATGAGCCTGGTGCTGGTGGTTCACACCTGTAATCCTAGCTACTCAGGAGGCTGAGATCTGAGGATCATGGTACAAAGCCAGCCCAGGCAGGAAAGTCCATGAGACTCTTCTCTTCAATTAACCACCAAAAGACCAGAAGTGGAGCTTTGGCTCAAATGGAAGAGGCCTAACCTTGAGTAAAAAAAAGACCAGAGACAGTTCCTAGGCCCTGAGTTCAAGCCCAGGACTGGCATTTAAAACAATAAAGCAAATGCATGAAACATTTAATACATTTAAACATTTAATACATCAACATATTGCTGACTGGTTTTCCTAAGACATAAACCCAACTTTCCACCAAAGGAAATGCCTATGATCATTGAACTGATTCCAAAAAGCACCCTTTGGGAAGGATTAACCTAGTCAGTCAATCCTCTCATTTTCGAAAGGAGTGAAATAAGGACAAGGGAACAGAGCCAGTGAATGACCAGGTCAGATCCAGAGAGAGGACTTTTACTTTTGTGTTTTCAATGTTTTTTTTTTTTTTTTGTCGGTCATGGGGCTTAAATTCTGGGCCTGAACGCTGTCCCTCAGCTCTTCAGCTCAAGGCTACCGCTCTCCCACTTGAGCCACTGTGCCACTTCTGGTTTTCTGAGTAGTTTATTAGAGATAAGAATCTCATAGACTTTCCTGCCTGGGCTGGCTTTGAACCACAATCCTCAGATCTCAGCCTCCTGAGTAGCTAGGATTATAGGTGAGAACCACCAGCACCTGGCTTTTCAATGCTTTTTGACTGGCATTAACACCTCTAGTATGACAGACCCGTAGAAAATGCGCACGCGTGCGTGTGCACATACACATGTACACACAGCAAGCACATGCACACACACAGACGCACACAAATTGTAGCAGTTTAAGTTGCCATCTATTCTCTCTCAGTCCCATCTACTGGTCTACTGCTTCTCCTGCTCTTGGGGCAAAGACATTATGTCTCTACAGAACAGATATATGTAATAAACAAATCTTTATAGTTCTGTGAAATGGAGACAGTAGGAAGGTTTGACTTTTCTCTGCTGCTGGACTTGGAAGGCTTCCTAGAGGAAGTGTCTTTGAAACTAAGCTTTGAAGAAAGAATGACTTTTGTAGCTTAAGATGGGGAGTGTTGCTGGGCACCAGTGGCTCATGCCTGTAATCCTAGCTATTCAAGAAGCTGAGACCTGAGGATTGAAGCCACCCTGGGTAGAAAAGTCCTTGAGACTCCTATCTACAATTAACCAGCAAAAAGCCAGAAGTGGTAGAGCACTATCCTTGAACAAAAAGGGACAGCCTAGACCTTGAGTTCAAGCCATACTACTGGTGCGTGCGCGCGCGCACACACACACACACACACACACGGAGGGAAGTGTTTTAATCAAAGGGAGCACTAATAGTTTCTTTCTTTTCCTTTTTTTTGGCACAGGGGTTTGAACTCAAGGCCTTGTGCTTGTTAGACTGTCTCTTTATCATTTGAACCATGCCTCCAGACCTGCTTTTTGCTGGTTATTTTGGAGATGGAAGCTAGCAAAGTTTTCTGCCTGAGCTGACCTTGAATCAAGATCCTTCAGATTTCAGCCTCATGAATAGTTAGATACAGGCACAAGCTACTAGTGCTGGCTTCCTTCCTTCCTTTTTCTTTTATTCTTTTTTTATGAATTTAAGCCATAATGCCCCCAAAATAAGACCTCAACTTATTCAACAAACATTCATACCAAGCAAGCACTGACATATAGGAATAACCACTAATTTTACCATTACCAGACACTGTAATAGGACAGACCAATTTGCTGGATACCAACCAAGGGGGGCGAGAGAGAGAGAGAGAGAGAGAGAGAGAGAAGGACAGAAAGAAAGAAAGATCATTTCCCATTAGCTTTCCCTTGAAAGCTAACTTGCCTCAGGGCCAATTCACAGAATTGTCTTATAGTATTTAACTGTCTACCTTCAGTGGAGAAAGGTCTCGGGTTGTTTCTGGGCCCTGCTACTGCAGTTGAGACCAAAGGATGAGAGGAGAATGACAGACAAAAAGAAAAATTCCTTTATAAAATGGAGTTGGTATTCTACACTTAGACTCCGAATCCTCTGAAATAATAGGCAGTGGTAGTAACACCACTGACCTATGTCCTGTCAGACCACAGAACTCAGACATGAGAGATGCAGGCGAGGCAAGCACAGGGTCATCTCACAGGTGGGGTTAGGAGGTTGCTGCTGGAAGGCTGCCTGGAGAACAGGACCATGAGCTGAATCTTTAGGGACAGCTCTAAGAACAGGGCAGGAAAGGGGAAAGGCATCCTTAAGCTTGGCAGAAGAGGGGTACAAAGGACAAGAAGGGATGAAAGATGAGGTTGACCACCAGCAGGGACCAGAACTTGGAGGCCTGATGTGTCTTACCTGCAGACATATCTGAGATGCTTGGTTTTCAAGTACAGAGTTAACATGATCAGTTCTGCCTGTAAGAAAGATACCCTGTAACTGTTTCAGACACCTAGTAGGCCATTAAAATGCGCTGTTGTATACTTTGAGCATGAACTGTGAATGTAGAGCCACAGATTGGGAGACCTGGAAAACTCTTTATGACTAACCAAAAGCAATTCCCCTGTTTCACAGATACAAAGGCCCAATGTAATAAATGACTTGTTCAGATTTCTTAGTTGAGACCGAACTAGAACTTGTGCTGGTGTATTTTCTGTCTTGTAGAAGGGGCTCAGAGAAACACAGCCATCTTCTATCCTCTGTGGTCCCATGTACAAGTGGAAGCACATGCACATTGTGCTCACACACTCTTGGACACACACACACACACACACACACACACACACACACACTTTGACTAACTAGCATGTTGTGTGAGAAGACTAGCTATAGATTATTTTCCAAGAGTCAGAAAATAAATTTCAGTCCCCATTTGAAATCTCAAATTTCTCCAAATGGAATGAGGAATTAGCTTGTAATTATGCATGGGGTGTTCTGCTGAGAGAACTTGGTGTGGAGTTAATTTACTGGCCCTAGGAGTCTTTGGGGTGAGTCCAAGTCCACCTCTACTACAAACCTGTTTTCCTGTTTATAAAACAAAGTTGGACTTGACCTGAGATCCTTACCTAACATTCTCAAAATGGTGTTCTCTGCCCTGTGGCCTGTGGACCTGGGCGTAATGCCAGCCTTCAGTGCAACTACCCACTATACCCATCTTTCCTCTCTCTGCTGTCTGAGAAGCAGAGAACTAAGTTTGAACTTTGCCCTCAATACCAATCACTGTGTCAACCACAATATAAATAATTAAACAAATGGTTCTGTCCCTTCCAAAGTGTCCCAATCAGTGGGGTTTTTTTTGGCCCATTGAAAACAAAATTCCAGACAGCTAATATTTTGAGCTAGACCAGAACCTTAGTCACTTATCTTACCCTAAGTGACTCCCTGGGGTCATTGCAGTCCACTGACCCACCACTTGGCCATGACTGACCTAAGATCCTTTCCTGCTGATACCTCCCTGTCACATGGGTGAGGAATAATCATGCAGGCAACCCACAGGGACTGAGGCCCACTCAGAGCCTCTGAGGGCCTCCTATGAAAACAATCTGTGAGCCAAAGATAAGGAGAGCTTTGTGTCTCTAGAGAAATCAATCTACCTTCTCCTTATACTGTAGACTTTAATACTAGGAATATATAATTGTGTTTCTCCTTTTACTTGGCCACCAGAAAACTCAGAACAAAATACATAACTCAGTTTTAATAAATACATAAGACTTATATTTATTATGTTTTATTCTCCTTTCCTGTTTTATGCCTTCCAGAGAGACAAGAGTTCTCCCCCCTGTCTATTCTGTTGTATATTTTATTATGTGCACAAGCTGCTTCAAATCCTTTTAGAACAAGGAAGATATGTAACTAATCAATTAACCACAGCAAAGCCATACTGAAATCTGAGGATCATGGTTCAAAGCCAGCCTGGGCAAGAAAGGCCCTGAGACTCTTGTCTCCAATAAACTACTTAGAAAAAGCTGGAAGTGGCACTCTAGCTCAATGGTTGGGTGATAGCCTTGAGCAAAAGAAGCTTAGGGATAGCACCTAGGCCCTGAGTTCAAGCCCCAGGATCAGCACACATGTACATCAAACAAGCACATACACACACACACACACACACACACACACACACACACAC